CCTATCTCCCATAGATCCCGCCTGACATTATATTCTCATCTACATCTAGGTCTCCCTAGAAGTCTCTTCCCCTCAGACTTCCCAACCATACCCGGTGCACACCTCTTGAACCATCCATGCGCGCTACATGCCCAGCCCATCTCATTCTTTTTAACTTAATCATGAAAATGCTTCATAATAGCAATAAGCAAAATAGGTCTACAGTGTAGACCTATTTTGCTTTTGTTAGTGGAAGTAAGGCACAAATATTTGGCACAATAACCAAAAATCAAACTTGTTACTTAAATAATGAAATATTTTCCCAGTTTTAAGCGCTGTTCTGCGTGTTTTTTTTTTGTTTTTTTAGAAAAATGTTTCTTTACGTTTTGCATTCTGCCAAAACAAAAAACCTTTTTTCCCACGTGGGTGTTCCACGAGTTACTGTTTTATTCGGCCGATATAAATTCGATTCTTCTTTTCTGATTCAAAGCAGTCGTTTAGAAGTTGCAGATCGGTTGACAATTACTTAATTATAGCTATATAAGCCTATTTATACTTGCCAGGAAAATGCTTTAAACTCTGATGCTGATTTTGATTAATAATTCTTTTATTCGTAGTAGGCCGCGTTATGCCACGGTGGTCTAGCGGTTAGAACGCTGGCCTTGTAATCCTGGGGTCTCGGGTTCGATTCCCGGCGGTGCCCGAATTTATAACTTGTGTTGGGCAAGGCCGTGGTCTAGGCAACACGGAGTTTTCCTCCGTGGCATCCCAACAATTACTCCATTCACACACAGAAGAAGGCAATGGCAAACCACTCCTGGATCATCTGCCAAGAACGTATATGAACAGGTCCCAGTCCGAGAAAAGGATGGAAGGATCCTGTTCATCTGGACCTGTCGTCAGACAGAACACTAAATAAAAATAATAAATAGGCCGCGTTAGTTGTAGGGCCGGCTCGTACGTTCTTTGAAATTTCTGTCGCTGATGTGACACAGATACAAATTTAAGATCCGAAGGGCTTATAGGCGATACAGGCCTGACATAAAATGGGCTACAATAACTTTCTAATCTACGAAAATCGTGCGAAAATTTGCTGTGCAGCTGTCGATTGTCACAGGAACGACTGAATAAGTAATGTGTTGGGGTAGTCTATTGGTGGAGATTGGATTACTTAGTAGTTCATGTCATGTAATGCGTTCAGTCCAAGGTCGTCCGTCGATGAATCGCTTGTAACGGAGTTTTCTCTACTTGTTTCCAGATTATTTATCCTTACGAACAAATGAAAACTGTTGTTGACACATGTCAGCTGTTATTATCTACAGCCATTACGAATTGCATTTTGTAGGATGTGAAAAGCGAATGTGTGTAATTCTGCTTCTAGGTCGTATTGAGTGGATAAATTAATGATTTCAGCTCATTGAAAGCGTTGAATTCAGAGCAGAAGTCAAACCTTTTGAAGACCGGTCTCTGTTACCAGGAAATTATGCCTGATGATCTTTGAGACGTTGGACCTCTGCTCTGTATTGACGAGGCTCGTCGCCGGGGATTTTAGAACTTAGGCTGTGTAGGAAAAAATTATTACTTCGTAACGTTCGCATTTTTCATGCAGGCCAATAGTACTTGAAGGGATGCAGGGTTGTTGCTTATTGGACTTTCTTGGGACAAAACATACATTCATTTGGTTACATTTCAAATTCCTTTATGAATAATTAAGTCCATTAATTTATTTCTGCGTAAAATAATTAGGCCAGGGGTTTTCAACGCGCGGACCGCCGGTCTTTTGTATAGCTGGAACTTATAATAAACAAATATATTTATTATTTGAGGTTTTCACGGCGGTGAGTATGAAGATTTCTGTGTTCTGGGTTGTTGCGCTGTGTAGTATGGTAGATGTTTACCGACGTTTCAGAGGTCATAATGCCTCCATCATCAGGGCGATGAGTATGAAGATTTCTGTCATCTGGGTTGTTGCGCTGTGTAGTATGGTAGATGTTTACCGACGTTTCAGAGGTCATACTGCCTCCGTCATCAGGGCGATGA